TGGTGCGCGACGGCGGCCTCGCGAAGTCGCTCAGGGCCGAAGGCCCCGAGGCTTTCCCCAAGCCGCGGTCCTTCGGGCCCCGGCAGGAGAAGAGCTGGGAGCACTCCTATGTTCGGGTGCAGATCGGACAGGGCATGGGCTTCCAGGACCTCGCCGCCGTGCGCCAGGCTCCGCGCGAAGGCGCCAGGGAGGGGCCCGCCCGGGCGTGCCGGATCGGCCCCGGCGACGCCGATTTCTTCCAGGGCCCAGGGGCCCGCTCAGTTTCAACTTCGGCCCCCGGGCGCGGGCTCGCCTCGTCAACGGCCCTGAGGCGTGCTGCAAACGGGAGAAACGCATGCGCATGGGCGACTACTTCGCCCAGGTGCGCCTCGCGCTGGCGACGCGCGCCAAGGGCGCCACCGGGGGGGCGGAAGTGGTCTCCCAGGTCGACCTGGGCCCCGAGAGGCGGGCGGCAGGGCGCACTCAAGTTTGCGCGCTCAAGCGCTACAAGCGGGCTCTTGGGCGCCGAGCACGAAGTTGGATTTCGAACCCCGGCTGCCCCAGCCACGGCGAAGACATGAACGAGTAAACGAATTTCTTCGCGCCCCACATGTTTCGCCTGCTGGGCCCAGCGTCGCGCGCAGCGGCCGAATGGCCCAAGACTTCGATGGCCGCGCGCGGGCGGCAATCGCGGCGCGCGCGGCGGCCTGGCCTCGGGGCGACGGCGGAAGGTCAGAGCTGGCCTGCGCCCGCCAGCAGCTCGGCAACCTGGGTCGGGAGTACTGGGAGGAGGAGATCGACTGGGCCGCGGACAATTTTCTACGAGTCCAGGCGCTGGCTGGAGGCGAGGCGCGACTACAACGGGCCGCCCCCTGGCCTTGCGAGCAGCGCCGGGTCGGGCGCCGCGCCCACGAGCGGCTGGGAGCTCCACTCATGGCAGGGCCGGGGGGGCGAGCTGCATCTCGCGGCGGCGGCCATGCGCCCCCCCCATCCCGCGGCGCGCTGGAAATGGGCGCGCAGGGTGCGCGGCGCGCGCTCAGGCGCCTAGGGCGCGGGCGCGCCCCCTCCGCATCCGCGCCCCCAACAATGACTGCGGCCGCGAGGAGCGGCTGCACACGTGCACGCACTACGCCTGCGCGCGGCTCTGCCAGTGCGAGCGCGACGGAGCAGGCGAGCCAAACCCGCGCGACGCCCTGGCGGAGCCAGCTGTGGGGCCAGGAGGAGGACAGAAGTCGGATCGACGGGCGCTTTCAGTCACGCCCCAAGTCAGACCCAGGTCAGCCCCTTCTCAGCGCCGGCGGCAGCTGCAGCGGCGGGTGGCGGAGCAGCATGCGCCAACGCAGGCGGCGGCGCTGGAGGAGAACCACCGCGCCCAGCACGCAGCACCGCCAGCGCGGGCAGCGCCAGCGGTGAACCATCAGTTGAGCCCAGGGCACCCGCTGGCAGCGGTGCCCATGGCGGACGAGGATCAGCCAGGCCCTTCGCAGAGCGCGCAGCAGCGCGACGGGCAAGAGCAGACGAGCTGCGCGAGGACAGCTGGACGCACGCGGGGCAGACGCGGGCCGAGCACCAGCGGCTCATCAGCGAGCTGGAAGGCGGCCGTTGGGCAGAGGCCGTCAACGAGCACATCAGCTTCATTCAGTCGGTCAAGCGCTGCACGCGCGAGCGCGGGGGCCCCCGCCCGACGGCGACCCTCCGCCCTTATCGGAGGACGGCGACGTGGCAGCCTCGGCCGCAGTCGCGTCAGCCATGGCGCAAGCAGAGGTGAGCACAGCCCCCCCCCCCCCTCTGCACCGAGGCCTCCCGGCATGGCGGGCCAGCCCACGGGCGCTCAGTGGGCGGCCCGGGTGGCACTGGCAGCCGAGTTCCCAGAGCTTCTGCCGTTGGAGCAGCGGGCAACACGGGCGCGCTCAGAGGCCGAGGAGGAGGGCGCAGCCTTTGCAGCTATGCGCGGGAAAGGCTTTAAGGATCGCTGCATCCAGCATTCCACGGCAGCAGGAGAAGGGGGCCTCAACGCGCGCCGTCGAGGTTCAGGGCGCTGGGTGCCAGACGACGAGTTTGGAGGTGCGCCTGCACGCGGGCCAGCTCACGTGAGAGCGGTAGCCGCCCAGTGGGCGACCGATGTTTGGAGGGCCCGCGCAGCCTGGGATCGCCCCCGCCCGGAGCGCCCGCCCGGCGACGCCGAGGCCTTCCCAAGGCCTTCGGCCAGGGGGGCCCGCAGCGCAGCCGAGGCCTTCCGCCGCGGCATGGGGGTCGGCAGTGACCGCCTCGACCCGCGGAAGACAGCTGACCTGAGCGACGAATTCCTAGGGGCCATCATCGACTTCTGCATGAAGAGCGAGGAGTTAGGCGGCTGGCCAGACGCGATCACTGACTCGCTCGTGGTCATGCTTCCCAAGCCCCAGGACGGCTCTCGCCCTGTCGGGCATCTTGGATGATTGCCCCGCCCCAGGAGCAGAGCGCGTCAGCCAGTTGCTGGGCGGCGGGGCCCCGAGACCGACCCAGGCCTCGCAGGGGCATTCCGGGGCGGGCGAGGGCGAGCAGCCGAGGAAGCCGCGCCGCGGCCACTCTGGCGATCGGAGGCTTCGAACGCCAGAGGGGGGGGGGCACAGCAGCGGCGCTCATGGACCTGTGGAAGACGCGCGAGCTGGTAGACCTCGCAATCATCCAGGAGCGCAGCGTCCTCGCCAAGGACCCGCGGACCTCCTGGACGGGGGCCCCATCGCAGGCCGTGCTCACGCAGGGCGGCCTCTGAAGCGCGGCCTCGTGGCACCCGCAGACGAGGGCGGTCGGGTGCGGCGGGCGCTGGGGCCTTGAGTCGCGCTCGCGATCGCGTTCGAGACTGCTGAGCGGGCCGTCGCGGCCCGATTGCGCAGGTCGCAGCACGCAGGGCGCAGGCGACCGAAGCTGCGGCCAAGCAGCTGCAAGCCTTGGGCCGCGAGGTCTCGGAGGCCAAGAGCGAGCTACTCGCGAGCTCGCCTGAGTTCTCGCCCTTGGTGGACAAGCGGACGGGCTGCGTGGCCTTCCCAGTCGGCGACTCCGCCAAGAACCCCGGCGTGGACAACTGCATCGAGGGCCGGGCCTTCGTCGCCTTCGAGGCACGCCGCGCGATGGCGACATCCCAGGTCCAGCTGCTGCATGCCACTCGCTCGCAGGACACCCCTGCGGCGGCGCGGGCGGCCAACGCCGGCCTACGCCGAGCAGCGCGGCCCGGGCTCAGCGCGGCAGGCTGGCCGACGCAGTAGATATGAAAGTGGGGGGGCAAGCTGGCGCAGCGCACCACCGTCGAGGCCCCGGCAAGAACCTCAGCCTAAGCTTCCCGCTCAAGAGGCCCTCAAGCGACCCATTCCTGGGCCGCGTCGCGCTTTCTGCCCATCATCACGCGGGCCACGGCGGCGCAGTCCATCTCAGACAGCACAGGCCGCAGCGCGTTCGCGGGGGCCATCGAGACGTCGGCGGAGAATTGGGCCCGAGGCGCTCGCCCGCAGGGGCGTGCGTCTTGGCGCGCCGCCGCCCAGGATTAACAGCTGCGCGCCCAGGCTTGCCTATCAACGATCAGCAGCGCGAGCTGGAATTGCGGACCCTGGGCGCGCCCACCTCGGCCAGGCACGTCGCTGCGGGCCACGGGTGGGCGTTCTGACGAGAAGGGGGCAATCGCCCAGGCCTCGACCATTTGGCGGAGGAAGGCACGCGGTCCAGCATCAGGCGCACTCTACATCGCAAGCGCATGAGCATGCTGGAGGCGACGCAACATAGCTCGTCCAAGAACGCCCATGTCGGATGCCCGTGGCCCGTTGCCTGACGATTCGGATTAGACCGACCTCTGACGCCCCCCCCCGCGGTGCCCCAGAGGTTGCAACGCCCGCGGCGCGGTGGGGCTTTTGGCGCGGCAGCGCCCTGCGACAGCCATGGGCCGAGCGGAGATGGCAGCCCACGGCAGGAGGGCGAACCGCGAGCGCAGGTATCCCACGCTCTAGATCTTCTCCGTTGGCCCGAGGGTCAGCTGTGCAAGGCGCCCCGCCTTCGCCAGATCGTGCAGCTGGGGTCTGCGCCTACTGCAGTGCGGGTTGGGTCGCTTCGTCTGCTCGGATCCGTCGCCCGCTTGTGTTCGCTGAAGTGGATGGCTGCTCCTGGCATTCGAGTGGATCTGCGCGTGTGCGCCGAGGCGCACGAGACCGAGCGTTGCCACCGCGGGGCCGAAGGGAAACGCCTCGGTCCGAGGGGCAGTGCAGGCAGGGTGCTCGTGATCTTTTATTTTTGACGTTGGGACCATCCTCATCATCATCAGCAGCATCATTATCATCAGCAGCATCATCATCAGCACTAGCATCAACACCATCATCCTCACAGTCATCATTATCAGCATTATCATCAGCATCATCATCAGCATCATCATCATCATCATCATCATCATCCCCCGCCTCCCCTCACCCCTCCTCGTCCTCATCCTCAACCGTCCTCCTCCTTGTCAGGAGTGGAGGGGCTCAGCGAAGACTAGCTGGCGCGGCCTGCTGGCCTTGGACGTCGAGGCCGACTGCAAGGCGCGGGGGGAGGAGTTGACTGCGGGGCCTGCAACGCAGACGCGAATGGGGGGGAGGGGGGGAGGGGGGGGGGCGGGCGTTACGGCAGGGTCGCGCCGCGTTGGCGCGTTCGACCTTGGGGTGCGGCTCCCAGCGAGACGTGCTAGGCCTTGGACATTCCCAGCTGATGTCCCCCAGGCGCCAACAATGGCAGAATCTTGGCAGAGTCATCCCCTCCCCCTCCTCTCTATCCTCCTAGTCTTCTGCCGCGAGCACCTACGAGGACCCATGAGTCCCCTGATGCTGTGCGCGCGGCAACAATGTATGAAGCACGTAGTATGTAATTGCCTTTCTTCGCCCTGCAGCTTGCGCGCTTCCGCGCCAGGGAGAGCACCTCCTTCCGTCCAAATCCCAATATTCGTGGCCCAAGGGCTGCGTGACATATTGCAGCTTGCGCGTCGCACGATTACTAGCGTCCGATCGCAGTGGAGTTATGTCCGCATGGTCGTCGGCATCGCTCGACGGCGCGCCCGGGGGAAGTGAGACGGGGCAGACCTTCTCAGAAGGAGGCGGGGCTTCTTGGAAACCTTCCTGGGGAAGGCCCTCAAACTTCCCAGGAGGCCCGATCCCTTCCGAGCCTTCTGAGAAGGCCCGCCCCCGATCTCCTCCCCGCGCCGCGGGCTCGCCGCCGAAGCACGCCCAGCCCCTCCCGAGCCCGCAGATCCTGCAGCGAAGCAGAGGGCCTTCGAGAAGCCCTCGGCGTCCGCCCCCCCCACGCCTTTTGCGCCCTGTTCCTAGAAGCCCAGCTGGCACTGGCCTGCGCTCTCCCCGCCGCGGGCGGCAGACGTGCCCCCCCTGTGCACGGCCTCGCGGCCTGGACTCCTCGGCTCGCGACCCTCCCGAGCCTCGAGGCCCTCCAGCTCCCGCCCCGCCCCCGAGGTGAGGCCGCGCGCGGCGAGGGCGAGCCGCCCGCCCGCCGCGGGGGAGCGCGCGGGCGCGCCCGCGGCCTCGCCCGGAGAGCCGGGGGGCGAGGCGCCCCGCCCCCGGCAGGGTCCCATCCGAGCCGATCGACGCGATTCGATGTCGGCTCGAGGCCGGCCCGGTCCGATCTCGATTTCGGCTCGGCCCGAACGAAAGGGGGGATAGGGAAAAGGGGGGGGTCCGAAATCTGCTGCGTGCAGCTGGTTTCGGCCCCGCCGCTGGGCCCATTCCTCGATACGTGGGCGCCTCCCACCGCCGGGAGTCGCTGGGAAAATCAGCTGCGTGAGCTGATTCTCAACCCCCCCTTTGCTATCCCCCCCTTTCGCCCGGCCCGATCGGACGGGGCCAGACAGGACGAGGATGAAGCCGTTCCCGAGCGTTCCGGAATGCTCCCAGAGCGTTCCGGAACGCTCCGAGAAGGCCGCGGCGCCCGAGACATCCTCCGGAGCCGCTGGATCTCAAAGACCTTCGGCTGGTTTCATCTTACGAGTTCTTGCCGACGCGCTGCGCATCCTGGTGCAGCCTATCCGATTCGATTCCGACTCCGTGCCGATGCGGTCCAGTTCGACGCAGAGTCCGATTCGATCCGATTGTCCGACTCGATGTTGGCTGATTTCGCTTGTCGGGCACCCCGCCGGTTGCCGTGCTCGTGGACAGACAACTCCTTTCGGACCGAGCCAAGTCCAGCAGCGTCAACGGTCAGCGACTGTTGCTTAGCATGTCACTCTGCAGGTTCTGGCTCACCACGCTTCGGCGCGACACGCTAAGCACGTCCCCATGTCCAAGCGTCATCGTCCTGCCCTCTTCCCAGTCTCCCGTCCCTCGGAGCGGGGCGACACGCTGTCAGCTCGCGGGGCATAGAAATCCAACCCCCACTGGACCATTTGAGGCAAGAAATGCTTCGCATGCACCGTTCTGCTGCAAGCGCGGAGAACTCCCCACGGAGAGCGGGGAGCTCCACACCGATCTGACGGACGGCGAGCACATGGAGGGCTACGCCGAATTTTCAGGCGGCGACTGCCGCATGTCTGGCGCAGGCGAAGCGCGCCAGCTTGGTTTTCGCCGCCGCTCCACCTCAGCCGGTGTCTTGGTATCGCTCGGACGTGTGCATTCTTCCTTTGGCGAGGACCGTCGGGGAGCATCCTTGATCACGTGGCGAAAAAACCACGCGCGAAACCGAAAAAAGCACAGGGAATGGACGTCCGAGCGATGGCCAGGAGCGTTCTGCACCAGCGCCGCCGCCGTCCCGTGCTCCGGCGGCGCCGCCCGAGTGCCCGGCTGCGCGGCCCCTCGCTCGCCCACGCGGTTGCGTCGTGATTCCGCCATCGCCGCCAGTCGGCCCGAACGAAAGGGGGGGGGACAGGGGAACGGGGGGGGGGGTACGAAATCTGCTGCATGCATCCAGTCTCGGCCCCACCGAGGGGCCCATGCGGCGATACGTGGGCGCCTCCCGGCGCCGGGAGGCGCCGGGAACATCGGCTGCGTGAGCTGATTCTCAAACCCCCCCCTTTGCTATCCCCCCCCTTTCCGCCCGGCCCGAGGGGCTCCCAGCGCCACGCCTCGCAGCCAGCGCCATGGACCCGGCAGCAATATTTTGCGCTGCTGCGCGGGCGGCATATCCGGGCGGGCACGCTGCGTATGCCCGGGGCCCGCGCCCGGCAGAGGGTCCAGGGCTGGCTCGCGGCCGCGGGCACTGGCGGCGTCACCGCAGGGCGCACCGGGGCGTCCGCCTTCGTCACCCACGTCGGTCGAGTTTGGTGTCCAAGAGCCGTGCGCGCACAGTGCCGCGCACCGTGGTGACGACGGCGTCTTTTTTCAAGAGTGGCAGCGGCTTGCCGACCGCAGCGGTGTCGACCCATCCGATCGTTCTCCGCAGGGTCAGGGACATCGAGGTTGCCCTCGACGTGGGGACGGGATATCCGAGGCGCAAGGCCGCGCAATTCCCGGTCATGGTGGGGATCGCTCTGAAGTTGGCCGTCGTGGACACGTGCTACGCCGCGCACAAGCACGCATACGCCTGGGCCATACTCGTCAGGATCTGGGTGGCGCTGCGCTTCGCCGACTCCGCCCACGTGCGCCCGAGCGAGCCGACGTGGCCAGCGCAAACGGGCCGCAGCTTCTGCAACGACGGCCCCGGGCAAGCGCATCTCGGTGCTGGCCGCACACGTGGGCCCAGACGCCCTCTCCGCGCGCCGGCAGTGGCCGGGGCGGCGATGTTGGGCGAGCTGAGCTGCCCGCTTCTCGGCGAGGGGGGCGCGCGGGAGCTCGGCCCGCCGGCGCCCCCCTCTCCGGAGCTCGCCTCTCTCGGGTCCGCGAGCAGCCGCCGGGCGGCGTTCCCTTCTCGGGGGGTCGTCCTCGCGGTTCCCGCGCGACGTGCTTGTGATGACCTCGGCCATTGCGCCTCGACTGGCAGCGGCGAGTGCGTCCGCGCTGCCCAGGCGCTAGCCGTCGGCGCGCAAACCAGAATCGCCGCGGCGATTCGGGATGCGAGTCGCGCCGGCGTCTCCGACGCCGTGGACGACCTCCTCGCGGATATCCACACTTGCAGGATCGAGCACACCGTCGGCGTTGAGCGCGTAGGCCGCGCTGTCAAGGATCCCCGCTACCTCGGGAGGTCCCGAACGCCCGAGCCGCCAGCGGACGCGCCCACGCCGCGCGGGCCGCTGTTCCAGCGGCCCGCGATGTCGAGGGCGTGCTCGGCGACGACGTCGTCGACGACGTGTCCTGTTCGGAGCTGCATCCTGGCGTCGACGGCCCAGCATGAAATCAGACGCGGAGGTGAGCAACGACGACCCAGGCATGGACCATGACTACATTGTCTGCATCGCTGGCCGTTCGCAGACGCGCTGCTTGCGCATGGCCGACGGTTGCTACCTGGCACGCGGCTTGATCTGAAGTTCGCGCAGCACGAGGACCACGCGGGCATCGTTGACCCCGAGCTCTCCGACAGCGTCTGCCAGCAAACAACGCGCCCCCCCCAAAAAAAATTGCCCTCGACGGGGCGCCCTACGGCACCGAGACCGGCGGAGAGGCTTATTATTCTTCATATGATTGTTATTATTATTCTTCTTCTTCTCATTATTATTCTTCTTTCTCGGTCGTGGCCCGAGGCGCGAGCCGCGCAGGCGGCCGACAGCTGCGCGAGAACGGCCGCAAGTGACGCCCCAGTCCGCAGCGTCGCGCGCCCACGCGCGCGGCTGGCCGTGCGGGGGGGGGGCGCAGGCGCTCGGTGCCTCGTCGCCCCTTTGGAGGGCGCGCGTCAGCACTGCCGAGGGCGCTCCGCGCACAGCTGGCCGCATCCCGCGCGACACGGGGCGGCGCTGTCCAGGCCCGGGGGCGCAGGTTAGCGTCGTTGCGGGCGGCCTGCGCGCCTGTAGCCTAGTCCCGCGCGACGCGAGGCGGCGCCGTCCAAGCCCTGTGGCGCAGGTCGGCGGAGGCGCGGGGGGCCCGCGTACCTGGCGCCAAGAAGTCCAACGGTCATCTCCCCCCCCTTCCGCCGCCTCCTCTCCCCCTCCCTTCCCCTCCCCCTCCTCCTTCCTTTCCCTGTGGTGTCGTCGTTCGGCCGCTCCCCTCCCGGGGCCGCGCTCGCGCCGCGGGTTCCAGATTTTCGGGCCCGCTGGCATGTTCAGATTCAGATGGCCACCTTGGGCGAAGAATGCCCTCCCCCCCGGCGATGGCCCGGGCTGGCCAGGGGGCGCGGGTCGGAGGCGCGACGGGCGACCTCTGCGCCGCCAACCGGGCCCCGCGCGACACAGGGTGGCACGGTTTGGGCCATTGCGTTGGCGAGCGGGGCGCGGGTGGCCCGCGCGCCACTCGCCGAGTCCTGCGCGACGCGAGGCAGAGCCGCCCAGGCTCAGGCCGGCGGAGGCGCGGACGCCCCGCGTGCCGCCAGCCAGGCCCCAACGACACGAGGCACATCTGTCCAGCTTCAGATTATAACGGAGGCGCCATGCGTTGCCAGCCGAGTCCCGCGCGGCACGTGGCAGCGCTGTTTGAGCCAAGGCGAAGGCGAAGGCTGGCGCGATGCGGGTGGCCCGCAGGCCGCTGCCGAGTCCCGCGCGGCACGGAGCGGAGTCGTCCAGGTCCAGATAAGAAAGCGGAGTCCGGAGGCGCGGCCGACCCGCGCTCCGCTAGCCAAGCCCCACGCGACGCGGGGCGACGCGGTCCTGGCTTTGTTTTGCGGGGGCGCAGGCCAACCGCCGCGCGCTGCCAGCTGGGCTCCGCGCGTTCGCAGGTTGCGGGCGGCCCGCGGGCCACAGGCCGAGTCGCGCGCGACGCGGAGCGGAGCTGTGCAGGATAAGGTTCGCGGAGGCGCGGGCGACCCGCGCGCCGCTAGCCGAGTCGCGCGTGATACGGGGCACAGGCTTCGCGGTGACGCGGGCGACCCGCGCCCCGCGTCTCGGTTCCCGCCCGGCGCGGGGCGGCGCTATCTGGGCGCAGGTTGACGGAGGCGCGGGCGACCCGCATGCATCGCGCTGAGTGGCGCGCGCAAAATTAGCATCAGCAACCTCTGCCACTCCCAGGTCCAATGCCTCTGGTGATTGAAAAACGTTTCCCGCCATTCGGGCCTCAGGCGTCGTGTGACGGGAGGGCGTTTCCCGCAGTTCTGTCCCCAGTTGGGCAGAACATGTTTCCCGCTTCTGCCCCCATCGCGATGACTCCGGACCAATCGGCTGGGCGGTGCGTCGACAGGATGTCGTTGATCTCCCAGCGGGACGGCCGCGCCGCGCGACGTGCAAGGAGCCGAGGTTTAGGATCCTGGCCGTGGCCTGCATCGGCCGGCACTGCGGCTGCATGGGGGGCCCTTGCCCAGAGTGTCTGGCCGCGCGGCTGGCGCGGGGCCGCGGGCCTGGACTGTCCAGCCCCGCGGCCAGAGAGAGGGAGGCCGTGGCCCGGAGCGTCGGGCACCGCGGCCGGAGGGGGCCGTGGCCAGACGAACTGTGGGGGCGGAAGCCCAGGCGCGAACGCGGGGTGGGAGCCGGCGCTTCCTTCCGGCAGTAATCATGGTCGGGTTCACTGGTGGCGCCGCGGGTGATTCGCGCAAGGCCCGACGGGCCCCGCGCGACGCGGGGCGACGCTGCCCTGCCGACGTGACCGAAAGCATGGGGGTGCAACTCTGGCGTTGAAGATCACTGCCGCCACATCCACCTACCTCCCACCCCGACGCCTGTTTCTGCCGCGAGCCCCCCCGACGCTTGGACGGAGGGAGGGCTTGGCCTCTTTTGATTTGCCCGCAGCAGGGCGCGACCGCTCGTTGTGAGAAACACATCGCATCGACATTGGTAGCGGAGCTACCGTCGAGCGGGTTCGATCCACGGCACGGAGCGCCGTCGCGAGGGCCGCGGCGGAGGAGCCTCAGCGACCTTCGCGAGACGCAGGTGGAGATGCTTGCAGAGCGCGATCCCCGAGAGAGGTGTGCCGGCATGGGGGGACGCAAAGCCAAGCTTGTATTTGGTCCCGCCGGTAGAGCTCCCATGAGGGATACGATCCATGTGATAATATGTCCCCCGATGCCGAATATTTTAGAGCAGCTCTTGCTGGAACCTAAGCGCGTGCGAAGCGCGCGTGGTTCTAGTGTGTATGTGTAGTTATCTATATAGTTATATCCATGTGTGCGTATGCACATCCCACCTGGTGGGGTTACGTCGTCCAGAGGAACCAGGGCCATGCCAGCGGGTATGGAAATCGGTTAAACAATGCTCACAAGTCCCAGGGGCAGGTGTTTGATTTGTGCACGCTGGGCGGGTTCGCCCAGTTTGGGGCCCAAGACTCTCACGGATCGATCCAGGTCCAGAGATGCCACAGGTCGGGGATTTGTCGCGTTGGTTCAAGATGCTGTTTTTTTCGCGACGTCGGATCTCAGGGGTCAGCGCGGCCTTCGGGCGCCTTCGGCTTCCGCCCTCCACGCCTTGCGCCTTGTTCGTGACCTCCGCGGCCAGCTTGGCCGAAGCCCAGTTGACATTCGCCTGCGCTTCCTGTCGTGAGTTGGAGAGCTATCCATCTCCACGGCCTCGCAGTCTCGACCCTTCGGTCGCGACCTCATGGATACAGGTCGGCTTTTGCACGGGCGCCCTGCGCGGAACGTATCCATGAGACCGCGCCAGGGTATCGATGCCGCGGGGGCACGGATATAGTTCGTGAGGGCCACGTCGACTTTCACTTGCGCCTCCTTCTTGGGAGAAGGCTCCATTTATCGCCTCGCCTGCGCCACGCACTCCTGTGCTGTGGACTGGGCGAGCGTTTGGGCCGCACTGATCCAGTGGCTGACGTCCTTCTCGAGTGTGTGCCTCGATTCCGATGCCAGTGTTGCTCGGGCTTTGGTGGAGCATGAGGACGAGGCGGACGGGAGAATGACGAGCAAGGAGGCAGGTTAGAGGAGGGAGGAAGGGTGGAGGGTGAGGGAGGAGGGGGGAGGGAAGAAAGCGCGGAGGGGAGAAATGGCCAAGATGAAAGGGATCACGTGGGGACGAGCTGGGGAAGGTCGGTGAACGGGGAGCGCGCAGCTCTCGGAAAATGCCGGGCTGACAGGCACGCGCGCCTCTTCTCGCACACGCTTTTTACGATTCGTTCCCAAAACGCGTGCCTGAAGGCTTGGCGCTGGTCTTTCGAAGCTCCCTCGAAGCTCCTTCGAAACTCGCTTTTCGAAGCTTACAAGCTCCCCAGGCATGCTGTCAGCGTTCTGGCACGCGTCTCCAACAGGCGTTTTCCTCCAAGCGTTCTTCCAAGCTTGCCAGTCGAAGCTTACCATAATCTTGCAAACTTGCAAGCTTCTCAGGAATGCTTTCCAGCTTCTTCCAGCTTCTTAGCAAGCTTCCCCTGACCTCAGCATAAAACTGCTCCGACCTCAGGGCAGCTTGTTAAACTGCTTTGACCTGAGCAGTTCGTGCAACGGCTCGACCTGAGCAGGCTGTAAAACCGCTCCCACCTTAACAGGTCGTTTCGGGATAGCTATTCGTGTGCTAAGTATATTAGAAGCCATCAGCGCAGGGTAGGCCAGCCCCAGCGCGCTGCCAGCATGCCTGGCCAGGGCCACCCTGTGCCACGACACGGTTTGTGCGCAAGGATGGCAGAGCGGAACAGGGCACAGGGCGGGGCGGCGGGGCGGGAGGAGGAGGAGGAGGAGGAGGAGGAGGAGGAGGAGGAGGAGGAGGAGGAGGAGGGGGAGGAAGAGGAGGAGGAGGAGGAGGAGGAGGAGAGGGAGGCGGAGGAGAGGGAGGAGGAGGAGGCTTCTGCGAGGCGTCGATTCCGGAGTGGGGTGGGCCCCACAGGTGCCCGAGCCTGGTGCCGCCAGACGGGCCGCGGGCAACGGGGTTGCCGTGGTGCCGCTCTGGGGCCGCGGCCTCGGTCGGCTCCGCCTCCGCCTCCGCCTCCGCCTCCGCCCGCCCCTGCTCGTGTCCGCGCTCGCGCCTGCCAGCCTGCGCGGCTCCATCTCCGATGCGCATCTGCGCCCGTTGCCTGTCCCCCTACAGGAGGGATATTCAAGGTAGGTGAACATATAGTGAGGGGGCGATTTGTTGACTGCGATTGAACATTCAGTGAGCATGTTTTGAGTACATGTAACTTGTCATCCAGAATCCCCCTGTAAGGGGACAGGCCCGACCTAACCCTTTACGCGTTTCACGTTTTGCCGATCGCACGGCGGTTACGTGGTGGCCTCACCGAGAGCTTTGATGATTGGAGGGCTACATGATGTGCTCTAAAATTGCAGTCGGCAAGAAAGCCAAATTCGACATTGTGCGGCCGAAGTGACAGGAAGGAATGCGCCTCAGTCTGCGTCGGGTCTCTGAGAAGCGTTGGTCATGGCGGCTCAGTATCAGAGCTTAGCGTTCGGCCAAGATGATTCCTGCAATGTCCGTCTGTGTTGCGCTGATCAGCTAGCTGTGAAGGGCTGTGGTGATATTGTCAGGGCAGTTCGATCAACTTCTATCCAGGAAGATCTGCGAGGTCGCGCCCCCACTACGGCCGCATTCCAAACTCAGAGAGGTGCTCTCGCCTCAGCGCCGGCCACATTCCCGTCTCCTGGGCGCCAGCCCTATCCGTGGCTCAGAGATAGCGCGTCGTATTCTCTCTTCCAGTCTCTCCTCCGCCTCCTCTCCTCTCCTCCTCCTTCCTCCCGCTTTCCGTCACCGCCGATCCCCTGCTTTTTGGCGTCACGATCAGATGGCGACGGCAGGTTTCTTGGAGTGAGAGGTTCGGCTTCAGGGTGCCCGTTCGGGAACTTGGACCGCAAGGTTACCACGAGGTGCGCGAAGATATTCGCATTTCGAGTGTCGAGGCTTGGGCCAGAGCGGTTGCCTTTTTCCATGGGGGCGCGAGGGCGCGAAGATAATCGCGGGGCGCGATGCGCGAAGTTTGGTGACCTAGGGTCTGTCAAAAAGCAGCGCTGACCTGAGCCAAACTTCGTTCCCCAGGGCCTGGGTTTTGAGGTGGGGAGCTTCGGGCGCTCGCGCCACGAAACAGCACAAGAGCCACGAAGCTGGGCTTCTGGTTAGGGCAGCGGGCCGTTTGTCGGTGCGGCGTGAGCGGGAGCGCGGAGACGATCGCGAAGCGCGAAGCTGGAAGACTTGAGCTCCTTCAGGGTGGCCACTTGGTGCCAGGCCCTCCTTCCCTGCCCGCCGCGAGACCCGAAAGATTTGGTCCTGGGCTCTGCCTTGACGTCCCCGAGGGTTCCCCCAGACTTCGGAGGCCCCCCCGCACGACGTGACCAGTTCGGACGCATTCTCGGCGCGACCCCCCGAGGTGTCGGGCTTTGGCAGGGTCTGCGGCCGCCTCGGGGCGATCCCTCGGGGGAGGCTGGCTGCACTGCCACGGTGCGGCGCGATCCCTCCAGAGGCCTCCTCGGCGCGGTGCTTCGAGGGGCCGCCTCGCCCCGACGGGGTCAGGCTGCAGGGTCGGCGGTCGCCTCGGCGCGAGGCCGTCGTGGGCGGAGGCCGCCTCGGGTGCGACCCGTTCAGGGGTAGGCGTCGGGAGCTGGCCGCGGGGATGAAGTCACAGGCGGGGGTCGGTCCAGACCTCTGGGCAGGCGCCGCGGAGAAAGCCACGACGGCGGTTGTTGCTCAGAAGTTCTTACGCCCGGGGAGGCACGTTCTGGGCCCCGTGACCCCATCAAGAGACGACCGGCGACGAGGAGTTTGCTTTGGGGACGGGGGCGAGATAGGCAGCGACCACATCCAGCACAACGGAGCTCCAGGTCATGCCAAAGTGTGGGGATCGGGTTGGAGGCAAAGATAACGATGGGGGCGAAGTTGTTGCGAAGAGCGGGGGCGAGCGGGCGCACACGGGCATGGGCAGGCAGGAAGGGCCATGGGTAGGGCAGGCAGTTCTTCATCTGGCTTCGCGGCTCCAGCTCAGGTGACATTGCCAAGGTTGATACTATCCAGCTGCCTGCGGCAAGTCTCGCCACCGTGCCAGCACAGCATTCTGGGTGCCGAGCGTCACGTGTGACACCTCGTGTATCAAGACTTGGGAGAGATGATGGCAATGATGATGACGATGATGATGATCCTGATGATGATGCTGATGATGATGATACTGATGGTGGTGATGATGGTGAAGGTGGGGATGATGACAATGATGATGATGGTGGTGGTGGTGGTGATGATGATGCTGGTGGTGTTGATGATGATGGCGATGATGCTGGTGGTGGTGATGGTGATATTGGTGGTGATGATGATGAGGATAATGATGATGATGTCGATGATGGTGGTGGTGATGCTGATGCTGATGCTGATGCCGATGCTGTTTGTGATGAGCCTGACGGTGATGATGATGTTGATGACGCTGGTGATGCGGATGATGATGGTGATGATGATAATGATGCCGATGCTGATGTTGATGATGATGGTGGTGGTGGTGGACATGGTGATGCAGATGATGATGGTTGTGGTGATGCTGATGCGGTTAACGGTGGTGCTGCTGGTGATGGCGATGGTGATGCTGATGATGGTGATGCTGATATTGATGATGATGATGGTGATGTTGATGGTGACGGTATGGATGACACTTATGATGACGGTGATGCTGACCGTGAGCGAGGATGGTGATAAGCTGGTGATGGTGCTGCTGTTGATGATGATGCTGGTGGTTGGGGTGATGATGATGCTGCTGACGACGACGTCGACGACGATGCTGATGTTGATGATAATGATAAGGCGGATGACAGTGATGTTGACGACGATGAAGATGAGAATGCTGATGCTTACAATGACGATGCCGGGATGGTAGTGATGGGGCTGATGATGATGATGGTGGTGATGATGATGATGTTGATGATGATGCCGATGCTGATGGTGATGAGGTTGTTGATGATGTTGATGATGTTGATGATGTTGATGATGCGGATGAAGGTGGATAATGATGCTGACGATGGCGATGCTGGTGATGACGTTGACAATTACGATGATGGTGGTAATGGTGGAGGTGGTGATGATGATGGTGGTGGTGATGTTGCTGATGAGGATGAGGATGATGATGATGATGATGATGATGATGATGATGATGATGATGGTTATGATGATGCTGACGGGTATGTTGATGGCGATGGTAAGAATGAAGGTTTTGATGACGATCATGTTGATCGTGAGCGAGCTCGGTGATAGGATGGTGATCATGACGTTGGTGATGATGATGTTGATGCTGATGCTGACGATGATGGTCGTGGTGGTCACGATGGTGATGATGATGCTGTTGCTGCCGCTGGCGACAACGACGATGATGATGGGGAGGATGTTGATGATACTGATGGTGCAGATGCAGATGATGATGACAACGATGATGATGATGATGATGATGATGATGATGCTACTGATGATGATGACGATGATGGGATGGTGGTGATGGTGGTGATGATTCTAGTTGTGATGATGATGCTGATGGTGATGATGGTGATGGTGTTGGTGATGCTGATGGTGATGGTGATGGTGACGGTAATGATGACGTGCCTGATGATGATGCTATTGGTCGTGAGCGAGGATTGAGATAAGATGATTTTGATGATGTCGGATGGTGATAATGATGATGTTGTTGATGATGATGATTGTGATGGTGGTGATGACGGTGGTGCTTTGCTGCTGTTGCCGCCGCCGCCGCCGCCGATGATGATGATGATGATGATGATGATGATGATGATGATGATGATGCTGATGCTGATGCTGATGCTGACGATGATGATGCTGATCCTAACGATGATTAATCTCGTTTGGGCCGTCTCGGGGCAGTCTTAGGGATCTCGTGGGGTGTTATTGCGCCTTCATGTGGCCCAAGTGCAACGTGGAATCATTGGGTCTTGGGTTCTCTTGGGCCGTCTTGTGGCCCTCTTTGCCGTATGGTGGGTGTCTGTCGTGGGGCCGCCTTGGCGCTGTCTCGGGCCGACCAAGGGCCTTCTAAGGCCGTCTTGGGTCCCACGGTAGGCTCTCATGGGCCGTCTTAGGGCCGTCTTCGATGCTTGTTGGGATATCGTGAGTCCTCGTGGGCCGTCTTGAGCTGACGGCAGCCCGAAAAGGCGAGAACGTGAAGATCGCTCGAAAACCTCGCGGAAATTGACGATTCTGACTTCTTCGGACCCTGCTGGAGGTCCTCTTGAGGCCCGTATGGGCTCTCTTGGAGGCATTTTGGGCCGTCGTGCAGCAATATTCAGCCGCCGTGGGGCCATGCGTAGGCCGTCTTCGAGGCATCGTGGGCCATCTCGGTGTCCTTGGCTCCTCCTGGAGAAGGCGGTCGACAATGGCGACGACGACGACGACGACGACGACGACGACGACGACGACAACGAGGACGAGGACGGCAGCGGCGGCGGCGGCCAGCGGCGCGTAGGCCGTGGCCCCTCCTGGAAGCGCCCGCCGCTGCTGAGCGAGCCGGGCGCGAGGCTGCGGTGGCACCAGGCCGCGGGGGGGGGGTCGGTCGCCGGCCTTTCCCCCCGCCTCACGACGACGATGATGACGACGACGACGACGGCGACGAGGATGACGAGGATGACGAGGATGACGGGTTCGATCGATGGCCATCCCCCCGCCTCGGCCGCTTGTGCTCCTCCTCCCGCTCCTCCTGCTTCCCTGCCAGCGCAGACCCCCGAAGACGCAGTCAGTTCGGGTGTTGCTAGAAGTGCCCCTGGCCCAAGGTGCCCCCAGGATTCCCAAGGTGGCCCCCGCGGCCTCCGGAGCACCCCTCACGAGGCCCAGAGGGCCTCGGGGGCCCCAAAATTGAACAAACAGCTGGGGGCACCTTGGGCCAAGGGCACCTTTTAGCAACCCTCGATCAGTGAAGAAGAGACGGTCAAGCGCCTCCTGGGGCCTGCTTGACAGGGAACGCAGTTAGCGGTCGCGAGTGGGCATGATTTTTCGATGTTCTGCAGGTGTGCGAGTGTGTCGGCATCCATGCCATCGCCGTCGGCATAAAGCCGCCGCTCAGTACGCTCCTGCTCTCCCTCCTCTCGCTGCTCCTCCTCATCCTCCTCCTGGACGCTGAACGCTGGAGGTTTCGGAGTCCGCAGTCGGCCGCAGCCTTGCCTCCTCCTCCTCCTCCTCCTCCTCCTCCTCCTCCTCCTCCTCCTCCTCCTCCGTCCTCCATCCTCCTCCATCCTCCTCCATCCTCATCCCTCATCCCTCATCCCTCCTCTCCACCTCCAGCAGGTCAGCGGGGCGGTCCCCGGGAGGGCCCCCCCGGGGAGAGGGGCCCCCAGATATCGAGGTGCCTCGTGGTGCTCCGCGCTTCGCGGGGGCCTCCTTGGGCTTCCAGGGTTTTTTTTCCGGGCCCCCGGGGCCGGCACAGAGCGGCTCCGGACCAGGGCCCGTTTCCCTCCGGATCCGTTTTCTCGCCGCCCATGGCAAGGCTGGAGGAGGAGGAGGAGGAGGAGGAGGAGGAGGAGGAGGAGGAGGAGGAGGAGGGCCCCCTCCGAGGGGGGGAGATCGATGGGTCGAGGGAGGAGGGGGAGAGGCGGGTGGAGGGAGGGAGGAGAGGCCCCCTGAAGGGAGGGGACGAGCGCAGGTGGCGGGGGTCGGCCTTGACGGAGGTCCGCCGATTCCCTCTGCTCCCCTCTGGCCGATCGGGGTTTGAGAGCCACGTTGAGCCCTCCTGCTCCTTCCCTTGTCAGAGGGCATCCGAAGTCAGATGGCGATGCTTGTCGAAGATGGGTACCCTCTGTTAGCTGGGAAGCGTCGGGCGTCGGGCACCTCGTCATACCTGGAGCGCGGTTTCGCGTCCGTTTGACAGAATGGTTGAGGAAAAGATGATTGTCACATGGTGCGCCTGAAGGTCAGAGGTCGAAGACGACAGCTGGGCCACTTTTTACTGAGGACAGACATGGGACCCGACGCATCATCATTGCCTTGAGGACCCGCGGCCAGCTTGAAGCACATCAACTCTCCATCGTGACGGTCGTTCCTTTCTCTGAGCAGTCTCCCCTCGAGTCTGGACGGGATCTCGATTGAGAGGAATTGTTGAACGAGCGTTTCGTTGAATAACCTTGCTCTTCAACCCGACAAATTTCCCACAGCACCTGAGATCTGTCAACGCAAGGTTTCTGCGCCCGCGTGCGAGGCGTGTGCTTCAAATAGGCGGAAGGACGCCATCTGGCATTGCCCATTGGGGCTTCTGGTGGAGCTCCCTGAGGGGCCACGAACCGTGTGAGGGGTGTGCCGCAACGGGCGGTGGGGCGCCATGTGGCCGTGTCCACCTGAGCCTTCTGCTGGAGCTCCTCCTTGTGGGGCCACGGAACGTGTGATGGGCGTGTCGGAGCCATGTAACGGGGGACGCCATGCGGCCTTGTCCACTGGGGCCTTCGGTGACGTTCCCCACGGGTGTGGTGCGCGCGCGGACAGTGGAGAGGGAAGCCGGAAGAAGGAAGGAAGGTTGAGGGCTGCATTGCGGGATTCAAAGTATGCTTGAGCCAGCCGAGTGCCTCCGAAAACATCGCCCGCCGCCCCCCCATCCATTTCTTTCCTCCTACTCTGGAGGCACAAGCTGACCTGGCGCCGTTGCCTTTGCCTGGGCTCCTCCCTCCCTCCTCCCCTGCCCTTCCTCTTCCTCCTCCCCCCCCTCCTCCTCCTCCTCCTCCAGAGCCTCCTCCGACCACGGCGGCGACCAGAGCCTCCTCCGACGACAGCGGCCAGCATAACTATCCTCCGAAGACGGCCGCAGGACAAGCTCGTCAGCAATGAGCTCGTGGCGCGCAGAGACCTCCGCGAGAGGCCAGCAGCATGCGGAGGGAGGTGCGTCGGGGTCATGGGAGGGCGGTCCTACCCGGACATTTTTGAGGTTAAGTTTGACGAGGGTTGTAGGTAATGCCGTCCATGGGTGCTGTCCATTGCGTAACCGTCGCCACTTTCGTGAGCTCATGGGGGGTTCAGCGGGGCGCGGCGTGTCGTGGACCAAATCGAGACCTTGTCCTCCACTGATGTAGTCAAACCGTCGCAGCTGTCGCCGCTCTCGGGAGCTCCTGGGGGTCCAGCGGAGCGCGGTCCTACTTGGCCAAAGTTACAGAGTGCTTGCGAGCTCCAGTGGGGGGTGATGTTCTACGGTGGCCCAAACGAGACCTCGTTGTCCCTGCATGCCGCCAATTGAACAGTTTTGCCACTTTCGCGAGCTCCTGGGGGGTCCAGCGGAGTCCTACGCGGACCCATGCGAGACCTCGCCCTCTTTTGGTGTTGTCCTGCACGCGGGGCCACCCTATGCTCTTTCCATGCGTCTCTGATGGGCTGGGTCCGGGGTGCGTTGGCCAGAATCTAATTCGAATTGCAGCCACGGCGACGTGAGATATCTAGAGGGCTAAAACAACGACAACTCCCACATACATAACCCTCGAACCTCGAACCTCGTAATGGGTGAGGAGGCCACACTCCTCGCCCCAGATCTCCGATGTCGCGTTTGTTTCTGGTGCGGGGTGTCATGACCCCAAAATCCACCAGGTGGCAGCATCAATGGTGCAATGGTCCTATCCAGTAGAAGTCATGATAGAGCAAGGCGCGCGATCCACTATGACGCTATGTGGGGAACTGTGGCGATGCACGTCCCACGGGGCAATTTCGAGGTAACGGATGCGAAGGGAAAAGGACAGAGGGCAACTAAGGACGACAACGACGGAAAGAACAGGTGATTCCTCTCGCTTCGAGGGGTGCACGTCCGGAGCACGTTAAGACTGGGCGTTGGGTGGTTTGCCTTGCTTGTCTGCTGAGAAGCTCTGCCGTGTCGTTCTGCCCGCCCCAGGGCGCTGCCAGCGGCACAGGTGGCGGATGTGCCCCCCCACCCCCCCCGTTTCAGCGTCGGGACGAGCGTGCGCATGTCCACGAGGGCAGTGGGCATTCACCGCGTGTGACACAAGGCAACGCCAAGTTCGAATTTCGATGTGCATAGCAGCAGCGCGCCGTTCGTATACAACTCCGCGGGCCTCTTGGTGGTTTTGGGCTGGGGGCTTCTTTGGGGCATCTTGGAGGCTTCTCAGCGGCCACTGGAAGCCCCTTGGGGGGGCCCCTTGGGGGGGCCTCTTGGGGGCCCCCTTGGGCCTTCTTGAAGCGCTCTTGCGCCGTCTGGCCCCTTTGGGAGTCGTCTTGGGGGCCTCTCCGGCCCGCTTTGTGGCTCTCTTGGGGTCCTCTTTGGCCGTTTTGGGAGCCTTTGTGAGACTTCTTGGAGCCTCTGGGCCGTTTGGGGGCCCTCTTGGGGCATCTAGGGCCGTCTTGGAAGCATTTTGGAGGCTGCTTGGGTCGTCATGGGCCACCGAGAATCGAAAATGGCGGGAACGCAAAAAAGTAATGGCAAAACCAATCGGACAATCAATGCGTTTGGCCTTTCGAGGTGGTCTTGGGGGCCGCTTGATGGCGTTCTGGGGCCGTCTTGGGAGCCTCTTGAGCCCTGGTGAGGCCATTCTGGGCCGTCTTGGGACCGTCTGGGGCCTTCGGGAGGCTGCATAGGACCGTCTTGAGGCCCTCTTAGACCCCCTGGAGGCCCCAGAGGCCGGTATCATAGATGTTCCATGCGTGTTGGTACGTTTTTGGGCCTCAACAGGGGGTGTGCTACTTTGGTCCGCCGATGTGGCGCGACTCCATCGGGTGGGGAGACATAATAATGTAGGGGGCACAAGATGTAGCAAGCGTGTACCATTCGCCAGACTTTTTTAAATAATATAAAAAACGATAAAAACGATAATCAAAAACAATCAAAAAACTCTGTCGCTAAGCACGCTACCTTCAGACATGGGCTTATTGGCTTACCCCTCACCGCTTGCGCCTCGGGAGCCTTGGACTTCTGAGAGAAGTTGTCGAAGCGTGTTGGCGCCGTCTATCTTTTGGTTCGTTTAGGGGCCCTCCTGGAGGCCGCTGGTGGAATATCTATGGTTTGTGCCTCTTGGGGGGCCCTGCCGGGCCGCCTTCGGAGCGTCGTGGGCCGTCCTGGGGCCTTCCAGGGGTGTCCTGTAGACGTCGTAGGCCGACTTGGACCGTCCTGTTGCGACGTTGGTGCGTTCGGGGCAACGCAGGAGGAGGGAGTCCGCCAGCACGGGGGCCGGGAGTCCGACACTGTTGAGTGCTTCCAAGGTGCCCGAGTTCCAACAGTAACATCAGGGCATTTCGATTAAGTATGAGGCACATGCACATGCAGTTGTGGATTCAGCTGCTAGATGCAATCCGGAGGGCTCAGACAAGTGAACTGAGTTCATAGCCAATGAATGGGTCGCTTTATACTTTTTGACGGTCGACTGAGCGTGAGGACCAGGTTGCCAAAGTTTTTTCTTGAGTTGCGACAGCAAGCGCGAGAGCCAACACGCACACACATAGTTCGAGAAACATTGCGGGATAAAGTTGTGATGTTTGTCGCAACGTTTGTATACACTTGCAGCATATGTTATCACACGTGCATGTCTAACCTCGTTACTACATGGACGCGTGCTCGCTAAAAGTGCGTAGGGAATGTGTTGAATTTCATCGTCAGAAATCCTTCCTCCCTAATCCTTGAGCCTTCGGAAGTGTGACCGCCCCGCCAAACCAGCCAGTTCGGGCTCCCTTGGGAGGAGCTTTGGGGAGGACCAATCCCGCACGCCAGAATCTCCATGGGTGGCGGCTGAGAGAGAAGGGAGAAGAGATCGAGGGCCAGGACGATGGCGACGGTAAGGAGACAAGGAATGGCATGGATGGCGAAGAATGGGGTTCTACGATGCCGAAGTGCAGTCGGATTTCTGTCATGCAGGAATGTTCGCAGGTTGAAGCAAGTTGTCTACCTCCTGGCCTCTTCCTTGCAACGTTCCGCACGGACGCTGCAAATCTACTGGCGCTCCAGCAAGGTCGCCGTCTTCTCAGGCCGGAATGACGGATCACGGGCAGGTAATCCGGGGTCGTGATTTTCGACAGCAGGTCGTCGGCGTCATTGCAGTGAACGTCGACGATCAGCCCTCCGGCATGGTCTGGCCCTGCTGACAAGCCGCCAGCCAGGCGCACCACGCCCGGCAGCGCCACAAAAGAGGGCCAGGTCCCGTTCGGGTGTGCGAGAGACCCGCCCCGTTGGGCCCCTCAGGGGGGCAGCACGGTGCCAGATTGGCGCTGCCAGGCAGGGCAAGGTTGGGCGTGCGTCTGCTTGGGGCGTCAGCCCGCCAGACCTCTCAACGCACAGTAGAGCGGCGACAGCTGCGCCTTGTAGCACTCCTCGGGGGCCAGGCACCCTGGCATGTCTGGCAGCACCAGTGTAACAGCAGAGGCAGCCAGGAGGCAGGAGGCAAGAGGAGGGAAGAGGGAAAAGAGAACGAGGACCAACAGCGCAGCATTCTCAACGAGGACCCATCACAGGAGGTATTTACAACACCTCGGGCTCGCAAACCCCGTGAGGCGAAGAGGGTCGGGTCTCTCTCCTCCGACATCTGCCCCTGGACCCTTCAGGGGCACGTCTTGACCAGACTCCCTTTAGAGGAACCGGCCCGTGGCGACGAGAACTCCCTGGAGGCCCAACCGCAGCAGAACCGCCCCCCCCGCGCAGACCTCCGCACCCGGAGGCCGCACCCTCCGGCTCTGGCCCTTCCCCTGCTCGCCCCCGCGCCAGGGCCGGCCCGCCGGCGAGCCGACGCGGCGCCGACGTGCCGCCGAGCCCGGCGGAGCCCTCTGCCCCGCCGGCGGGGCGGCGCGGCGCCGACGTGCAGGAGCCCGCCGCCCCGTTGGCGGGGGGCGCCAGCGCGCCGCCGAGCCTGGCGGAGGGGGCCCAGGTCGCGGGCGTTCGGCCAGGGGGGCCCGGCGCCGGCGCGCCACCGGCGGAGGCCGCTGCCGTCAGCGACGAGGGCGAGCGCGGCGGCGAGCGCGGCAACGAGCGCGGCGACGGCGTCGACGGCGGCGACGACGGCGGCGGGCGCGGCGACGACGACGACGGCGACGAGCGCGGCAGCGGCGACGACGGCGGCCGCGAGCGCGACGGCGGCGACGACAGCTGCGGCGTCGTCGTGTTGTTGGCGGAGGCCGGCGCAGTGGGGCTGCAGCGCCGCCTCCAGGCGAGCGGCCAACGTTATCGTAGTGGCCGCGCTCGTCGTCGTCGTCGTCGTCGTCGTCGTCGTCGTCGTCGTCGTCGTCGTCGTCGTCGTCGCTGCCGCGCTCGTCGTCCTCGCCCTCGTCGTCGTCGTTGAGCTCGCCGCGCTCGTTGCCACGCTCGAAGATCCCAGACTTTTTGGGTGCTTTATTTTTGTCAATCGTGGCGTTCTTCCTCGATATCGGTCTCCAGGACCCGTCTCCAGGACTCAGGGGCATCACACATGCATTCGGCACGGGAAAATGTGCCGGCTAGGCAAGGGGTCGAGAAGTCCGGGGGGTCATGTTTCGAACCCCTGGAGGTTGGAACGGCGTGTGGTATAAAGGGGTGTGGTGCCAATGTTGAGACAGACGATCTTACCTACGATAGCCGTTGCATCCCGATGTCAACAGCGTTGGCTTCGCGCCGACCGCATCAGAAACGTCGGATATCTTGATTCTCACTTACCCCGGCGACCGTGGTTCTATGTGAACGGGGACACAAGCACCTGTTCCAGGATACCCGGTCACCAAGCACACAAATTCGGAAATTCCGAATCGCAAAGAGAGTCATTCCCGAAAGTCCGTACTGCCAAGACCGTAGTTCCAGAAATCCCAGAGTTTAGCATTAACATTGTACGAATGCAAACCATATCTCAGAAATTCCGAAACGACGTTCAGGAAATTCCGCAATGACAAGAATGAATTCCAGAAATTACAGAATCTCCAGAATCGCGTGATTGGCGATAGCGCGTCATGCAATGGGCATTTGTGTCGCCGTTCACATTGGATGGCGATCGCATGGGGAGTTGGAACGGATAGGGATAGGAATGGGCATGGGCATGGAGATGGTGAAAGGCATGGAGGATGGAATGGGAATGGAGATGGAGATGGAGATGGAGTTGGATGGGATAGGGATGTAGGATAAAGGATACAGGATATGGTTAGTGGTGAATGGGATACTGGAATGTGTATTGGTATTGGGATCGGAGTAGGGTTAGAGATAGGGATACGGCGAGGGATACGGACATGGATACGGATAGACAATAGGAGGCAATGGGGGACAATGGAAGACACGGGGACACAATGGGAGACAACGGGATACACAGGGGATAGGGTTATAGATAGGGATAGGGATATGGATACGGATACGGACTTGGATAGACAACGGGAGACGATCAGAGGCGATGTGAGGCAACGGGAGACAGTGGGACACAATGGTCTGATCGATTTTGGATCCAGCAACGCACCTATCAGTTCTTTGCCTTGCAGAGAAGCTGTTCAGGAGAAAGTCAAACCGCCGAATAGGGTCGCCGCCGTGTTCGCCGTCGTCGCCGCCGCCGCCATCGTAGTCGTTGTCGTAGCAGCCGCCCGTTGTCGTAGCCGCCGCCCGTCGTCGTGGGTGTCGTCGTCGGTGCTGTCGTCGTGGGCGTCGTCGATGTCGTCGTGGTCGTCATCCTTGCCGTCGCCATCGTCGTCGTCGTCGTTGCCGCCGTGCTCGCCGTCGTTGCCGCAGTTGTCGCTGCCGCCGCCCTTGTCGCTGTTGTCTGCCGGAGGCCTGCCCGCTGCCGACGCTGCCTCCGCCGCCGTCGCTGTCGTCCTCGCCGGGCCGGAAGGAGCCTGCCGTCGGATGCATGCCGTCAGAATTGGTAGTGAGGGTGAGCGATTTTTCAGGGTGTCCTTTGCATCCTTTCCCTTCGGCCCATCCTTGGCCAATTTTCGTTGGCCGCGCCCCGCTCGAAAAGCACTGGCATGGCCGTCCAAGGCATGTGCGTCCTTATCGTTCATGGTCGGAGGAGCTTGCCGTCGGAGGCAGAGGTTTGACTACAGGTAAGAGTGACCCTTCGCCACAGTGACTTTGGTGCGGGTCATGGGGCCTCCCCCGATCGTTTAGCGGGATGCGACAGTGGTTACTTGTGCGCTTGGGTTTGGCCTCCTTGCGCCCCCTTAATCCGCCCAGTGAAGGTCACTTTTGCCTAGGGTTACTCTTGCGTGATGCCTGGGGTCACTCTTGCGTGTAGCCAATTAGTCTCCAACGCTTCACTGATGTTCCCAGACCTGCAGTCCTTTGGCAACGTGAAGACATCCTCAGGCCCCACAGGGCCGCAACATGTGATACATGTCCCCAAGATCTCAGAGGGCCGTAGGCCGTAGCATTGCTAACAGCTCGCGTTTAGAGTAGAGGGAAGGTCATCAACTATGACAGTCGATATCCTCATGGCGGGGGCCGTAACATGTGACGTCAGGGGATCTGGGGCCTCCCAGACCCTCGGTTGGGTGGGGTGTCCTTAGGATTTTGCAGAGGGTGCTCTCGTGAGCTTTCGGGAGAGGAGGAGAATGAGAAGGCGAGATGGTGATGATGATGATGATGATGATGATGATGATGATGATGATGATCATGATGATGATGATGATGATGATGATGGTGGTGATGATGACGCTGATGATGATGATGGTGATGAATGTAATGGTGACGATGCTGATGGCAATATTGATGATGATAATGAGGATAGTGATGGCGATGTTGATGGTGATGATGGCGATGATGGTGATAGTAAGGATGGTGGTGATGAGCATGATGGTAATGATGGCGACGACGACGATGCTGATAATGATGATGATGCTGATGCTGATGCTGATGTTGGTGATGATGGTGATGATGGCGATGATGATGGTGATGGTGGTGATGCTGCTGATGATGGTGGTGGTGGTAGCGAGTGCGATGATGACGATCGTGACGATGATGATGATGATGATGATGATGATGATGATGATGATGATGATGGTGATGGTGGTGGTAATGCTGATGATGCTGATGCTGGCGATGATGATGATGATTATGATGATGATGATGATGATGATGATGATGATGACGACGCTGCTGATGATGATCATGGTGCTTGTAATTGTGATGATGATGGTGATGATGGTGGTGGTAATGGCGACGCTGATGGTGATGCTGATGATGATGGTGGTCCCCAGGGCGATGCTGCTGATGATGATGATGATGATGATGATGTTGGTAATGATGATGTGGTGGTGGTGATAATGAGGATTATGGTGATGATGGTGGTGATGATGCTTCTGTTGAAGATGAGGATGATGATGGTGATGGGGTGAGATGAAGTGTGGATGAAGATGAAAATGAAGATGCTGATTTTCATGGTGATGATGATGCTGATGATGATGATATGGAGGAGGCCATGGGATGGACGAGGATGGTGGAGGAGAGAAATGTGGAGGGTGAGTGGAGGAGCCGAAGGATAGATATGGAGGGTGAGTAGAAGAGGAGAGAAACACGATGAGACACGGGCAGGAGGCAGAAGAACAGGAGAAGTGATGGAGGAAGGATGAGTGACCAGGGCGAGGCTGGAGGAGAAAGTGAAGAGGATGGAGGATAGAGAGGGAGAGAGAGAGAGAGAGAGAGACAGAGGAGGAGGAGGAGGAGCGGCAGGATGAGGAGGAGGGAGCAGTAGGAGGTTGAGCAGGATGGAAGATGGGGAAGAAGGATGAGGAGAATGGATAGAGGAGGGGGAATAGGAGAAGGACAAGAGATGAAAAGAAATGGGGGAGGAGGATAAAAAGCAGGAGGTGGAGCAGCTGGGGTGACGAAGGAGAGAGCGTCAGAGGAGGTCTGTAAGGGATGGAGGAAGGGGAGCAGGAGACGGAAGAGAGAGGAAGAGAGATGGGGGTGAAGGAACAGGAGCAGGAGGAGGAGCAGACGGGAGGAGGAAGAAGCGAGTGGGAGAGGAGGAGGACGAGAATGAGGAGGAAGAGAGATATGATGATGAGGAGACGGAGGAGGACGAGGATAATGGATTGAGGATAGAGGAGAGTGTGGAGACAGATGAGGCGAAGGAGGAACACGAGGAGAGTGAGGAGTGAGGAGTGATGATGATGTTGATGATGATGCTGATGATGATGCTGATGATGGTGATTCTGATGCTGATGATGATGATGGTGATGTTGGTGATGATGGTGATGATATTGCTGTTGATGATGTTGATGATGATGATGATGATGAGGAGGAGGAGGAGGAGGAGGAGTCAGTCCGTCCGAGCGAAGCTTGGCTGGGAGCTGGTGCAACCCTCCCCCAGGGAGCAACCGCTGCTCGGTCTGGACCCGACCGGCCGGCGGTCGCTCCCAGGGGGAGGGGGTGCGCTGGCCAGGGCTTTTAGCAGCGATGCCTGGGATCGCCGGGACGCCCGCGAGGACGGGGCAGTGGTCGTCCGTGGGCCCGCCGCCAGGAGGAGGAGAGAGGTGGCAGAGGAAGGGGGGGGGGAGGATCGAGAATCTAGCGTCTTGGGCTTTCTTGGGCCTCCGAGTGGCTCCTCGTGGCCACGACTGGATCCGCCTCGACGTTCTGGCCAGGATGCGGGAGAGGTGCGTGCGGGCGATTTCTGAGGTCATGGACCCATCGGCCGGATGGGGAGGAGAAGGCGAGGAGGAGGGGAAGGGGGGGGAGGAAGGAAAGGGAACGACGAAGAGGATGCGTCATCCTCCGGGTCATAAGCAGCGCACGTAAATTGCAACACGATGTACCCTCAAAGAGGGGCCTTACCAGCCAGCAGTCCTAAGCCCAGCCAGTGCGGTGCGCCGTCATGTCAGCTGTGTATTTAGGCCCCTCCCGAGCTAGGTCTCTGCAGCATGTTGCCACTCTCTGTTCGTGTTGGGAGAAGGGGGGAGTGCGGAGAGAGGTGGATGGGCCGGATGGGGGACGAACGTCGTGATAACAAGTCCCTGTGGGGGACCAGGTTTCGTAGCACCACAGCGGTGTCTCTCGCCAAAAAAAACAGCCCCACCCCCCCCAGGAAGCTAAGGGCTTGCATCCATACTTCACGCAGGAACCTGTAAATCAAAATAGAATTGAGGAGTAGACCCCCAACGGCCTCATCCGCATTTTTATCCTTATCTTCCTCTCTCCTCCTCATCCTCATTGGTCAGTCCTCCTGCTGTTTTTGGACGTTACGTAGGCAAACTCAGATCGACTGGGATTGTAGCGTCAAACCTCCACTTGCTACTTCTCCTTCTCCTCCTTTGTCTTCCTCCTCCTCCTTCTCATCACCATCATCCCCTATCCCCTGACCCCCATCGAACCTCAGCGGCAGCGAGGCCGAGGCCGAGGGCAGCAACGGCGGAGGTGTTGGCGGCGACGACGGCGGCGACACCCACCGCAGCTCGGCGGACCGCAGGTGACCAAGTGGCAGCCTCCGCTTCCCCTCTCGCTGCCGGAGGCGGGCGCCTCCCCGCTCCTCCTTGGGCCGCTCGGGGATTGGCGCGAGGCTCTGTTCACACGTGGTCGGCTTCGCGCGTGCGGCCCCGCTCGGACATCGTCGGAGCAGAATGGCACCCTTGCGGCCGAAGGTCCGAAGCAGCCCTGCACAGCTCACGAGGCGGGGTCTCGATGGGCCGGCGAGTTCGGAGGCCCCGGCTCCCTCGCCGGGCACTGCACTGCACTGCAGAGCCACTGCAAAGCCATATGGCGTTCGGCGCGTGGGCGGGGAAACCACAAGCTCAGCGCAGCCTGTACTGCCAGGAGGAGGGAGGAGGGTAAGGAATAAAGAAAGAAGTTGAATGGCATGAGTTGGCGGCCTGCAAGGGCTCGCGGGCATGTGTCCTTGCACGTCGATGCAAATTCGTTCCAAAGCTTTTCGTGCATGATGGCTTAGAGTAGGTGTTGTTCTGATGGGAAGCAATCCTCTATCTTGTCGCGCAAGCACTTCGTGCGTTCATGTCTCGGTCTTCCACGAGATCTTTTCACTTTGCTTATTGCTGGACGCGCACTGCTCGGCGTAAAGTAAGCTGTCACCGTGTATCCACACCGCTTTTTTACAAACTACACAAGTTGACGCTTCGACAGCTGCGCTGTGTGCGGTATGTGACATGTTATTGTTCCAATGTGATGTTGTTGAACACTCTTGACACGTACGAATGGCTTGATACCCAAGATGACGCGCAGACATTGGGCTCGGAACGCATCGAGCCTGCGTCTAGCAGCTGCGTTCAGCCAAGCACTGCTCATATAATACATTACTTTGGTTGTGATACGTGCCCCGAACACTTCCAAGTTTCGCGTCACACTGATTGACGTGTGCTTCCACGCTTGCGCATGCCGTTGATATTCCCCTCACGCAACGCCCAAGTCCCTGCCCAGCTCCTCCTTTATGTTCCCAGTGTCGTACAGCGTGGCCCCCAAGTTTTTCATGTAAGCGGTGGGAATAATGAGCTTCCCAGCGGGATCGGTGATGCGCAAAACACATTTTATCTAAAGCAATGTACATGTGTCCCAGTGCAGCTCCATGCCCACATTTGCCCCGGCACGTGCGACTGCGTCCAAGAGTTGTTGCACATGTCGCTCATTGTTCACCAGGCGCTGGGAGAAATACATAAATAACCTTTATGGACAAGCTGTCTAGGGAAAACGTGCGGCCAGCGCATATTCCCATCGTGCAAATTGATATTTGTTCAATCGGACCTTCTTGAAGCTCCCGACTCGGCCCGTGCGCCTCGTCGTCATCGTCGTCGTCCTCGCCGCCGCCGCCGCGGTCCAGGGATCGAGGTTCGAGCTGCAGGGTTGGTCTGGGCCTCCTGGGCCTCCAGCGGGGACCCTCGGGATCACCGTAGAACTGAGACCTCCAGGAAGCCTCGGAAGCCGTTGGGGGTCGTCGTGGTCGCCTTTGCCAGCGTCACAGTCGTCGTCGTCGTCGTCGTCGTCGTCGTCGTCGTCGTCGTCGTCGTCGTCGTCGTCGTCGGCGTCGTCGTCGTCGTCGTCGTCGTCGTCGTCTGTCGGCGTCTTCGTCGTCATCCGTCGGCGTCTTTGTCGTTCTCCGTCGTCGTCTTCGTCGTCGTCTTGGCTGACTGGCTGCGGCGAGGCGAATTGCGATAGGGGATGCTGGGGAATTCAAGTGGTGCGGAGGAGGAGGAGAAGGAGGAGGAGCAGGAGGAGGAGGAGAAAGGGGAGCAGGAGGAGCAGGAGGAAGAGGATGACACCCCCTCCTCATCCACATCCTCCCCCTTCCTCCATCTTCCTCCTCGTCCTCCTCCTCCTCCTCCTCCTCCTCCTCCTCCTCTTCCTCCTCCCTCCTCCTCGTTTTTGCTGAACGGACGGGGGCAAACCGACGAGGAGCGGGCGCTGCCCTGCCCGCAGCCCCCCGCATGGGGGCACCAGTGCACGACCAGGACGGCCCGGGGCGTCACACGGCGCGGGCGGCCTCCCGCAGAGCGGCCACGGCAGGGCCTCGCTGGGCGCTGGTGGTATGAGAGCGGACAGGGAGAGGGCTCGGTAGCTGTAAGTCTCTACAGGGGGGTGATGCAAAAATAGCAAAAAAATAGTATGAGAACTATTTGTTGAGTATTTTTGGGCATGTTTTGTATATGTTTTGCGTATTGTTGTTTTTGTTTTCCAAATCCTGCTGTAGGGGGACAGGCCCGACCTAACGATGGCTCGCCGATTTGGACGAAAAGCTCACACTTCCTTTTGCTCCTGAGCCCAAGGTCTGATGTGTGCGAGAGATGCGACCAGCGTACGCAGCGTAGCCTGCCGAGCATAGACCCGTGGCACAGGCAAAGGCGGTCAATTGCCAAGCATGGACCATTGGAAGAGGCACAGGCGTGCAAGCCGGGACCTCCCAAAGTTGAAAAGGGGCCGGGCGGGAGGGCACCCGCCTTCAGCCCCGATCGCAGCGGCCTGTGCCCGCAGCCATGACACAGTATTTCGTGTTTCATTTTTGATCCTGGTCCCCAGGACTGATGCATGCGAGGTGTGTGACCAGCGCAGCCTGCCTCCAAGCATGGACCACTGGCACAGACCCGTGGCACGCGCGCAGGCTGGGACCTCCCAGATCTTCCACTCTCCGCTGGGCTGCGCAGGCAGGGCCTTCTCCACTCGCGCACGTGCGCGGGCAAACGGACCGGCGAAGAGAAGCAAAATCAGGTCTGGCGGCTGAAGGCTTGCAGCCACCCTGACGACGGCGCATGCGAGAGAAGCAACGAGATGTTTGGCATCGCTCGGGCGTGTGGCGAGCCGAAATCAGGAGTTCGGGCCTCTGCACTCGAGCGGACTGAAATCAGGAGGGAACGAACAAAAAAAACAGACACAATGAATCGTCGATCTCCAGGAAAATATGGGAAAATATGGGAAGTGGGAGGGAAGACAAAAACACAGAAGATATAGGAAATTATGGGGAATCCTTTTATTTGTGTGTATTTATTTGTGTGTCCTAGGGCCCCTTCATGAAAGCCAGAGAGGCGGCAATGCGACCGGGCGAGCCAGCTCACAGCGGCGCGTCCACCGCTCGGTGCCCCAGCGCCGCGACTGGGAGCCCCACCGCGGAGCGAGCCAAGGATTTCGATGCCCTGCGCGCCTCGGTTTGGGGCTTTTGGGTTGCCAGATGCTGTGGAGCAGACGTAGCGCCGCAGCACCAATCTCCCTCCGCGACACCAGGAGGAGCCCGCCTGTCTTGGGCTCTTGGGTTGCCAGATGTCGAGGAGCGCGCAGCCCATTTGTAGCAGACGTAGCGCCGTAGCACCATTTGCCTCCGCGGCGCCAGGATGTCTGGCCCCGGTTTTCCTCACCAGGCCGGCCCAAGGTAGCACGCGACGGCCAGCCCCCAAGGAGCGCGAGGCAGATCATGGCTTGCGCGACTTCGACCCACATAGTCGCGCAGGCGCCACGTCGCCGTCGGAGCTCTCCACGACGAGCAGCGACCGCGTCCACGAGCTCCGACTACATCCTGAACGCACTGCCGTCAGACCACAGGCCGTGCCAGTCAAGCTCCGCGCCGTTTGCCAGCGAGACGTCGAGCGTCGGCCCGTCCAGCAAGCAAGCCAAGCGAAGGTCCCGCCGCGATCAACCACCTGCCGAAGTCCGCTGGCAGATGATCGCGGCTCGCCTGTTGGGGGGGGGGGGGGCATAACTGGGCGGCGGTAAATGGGGGCGATGAGCAGGGGGGCAGCGAGGGCTGCAGAAAAGGTGCCCTTCAGGGCCCCTGAATGAGCCCTTTCGGACCCCAAAAGGGGGCCTGTAGGGCCCGAGAAGGGCACCTTTTTTCTCCCCGTGTATCTAGGCCTCCTAGATAGGATCCGGGCAGGTCGGGCGATCGCGCCGCGTCGCCGATGCTTCGCCGATGCGGTTCGATGTGGAGCCCCATTTGCTTCACGTCGACGTCGCCGATGCATCGGCGATGCATCGCCGATGCACCGCTCCCCCATCATTTCGCGCCCGAGCCTGTCGGGGCGCCGTTGTCGGGCGCCTGGGGCCCAGAGGGGTCTGGGCGGCTCGAGCCGCCGCGCGCGCCGCCGCCTCGGCCTGGCGCACCAGCGGCCGCCGCCTTCTCCGCCCGCGGAGCCGGACTGCTCCGCCCAGCGCGGCGAGGGCGCGCCACCCGTGGGTCACCGAACGCGCTCCACTGCGCACAAAGTGCCTTCCCGCAAGCGTCAAAAAGCACATTCTTGCCTCGATGTCGTGGATCGTAGATCGGCCATAGCGGACGCAGGCCATTTGCGAGTAGTGACTCTGCGAGTAGTGGAGCGCGCATGCTTAAATGAGGGAGCAAGCGGTTCCATAAACAGAAAAACTCTGAGGTTCGCGCGGGTTCCTCGATCGGCGATGGTGCCCCTTGGGGTCTTTCCTTACCTCTGGAATAAGGAACTGGGCCTGCGGGCCAGTCTGGCGGCTGTGTAGCCGCCGTCGCCGCCCCGTCGCCACATCGTCGCCGCCCGTCGTCTGAGCCTGCGTGCACGTCTGGTGGCTAAGAAGTCGCAGAGGCCGCCCCGTCGTCGCCTCGTCGCCGCCCCGTCGTCGCCTCGTCGCCGCCCGTCGTCTGGGCCTGTCTGTCGGTCCGGCGGCTGTGTAGTCGCAGTCGCGGCCCCGTCGCCGCCGTCGCCGCTCGTCGCCACCCTTACAGTTACATTGTTTCGCATTGCTTTGCACTGTATTGTTTTGCATAGCGTTGGGTTGGGTTGCCTTGCTTTGTGTTGCTTTGCGTTGTTTCGCGTGGCACACCTTTGCACTTTATCGAGGCTCGGCTGCAACAGAACAGCGAAGTCCACACGCGCGGGTCGTCGCGCGCGCATGTCGGAATCCTTTTACACTTGTGGGCGCCGCAAAGATCCGAGACTTCCCTCTGAATGCAGGGCTTGTTTGAGGTGCAAAACAAATGAAGTAGGTTTAGAGTAGCTCCTGAAGTAGGTCGGCGAAGTAGGTCTGCAGCGCGCCTGACAACAGTGGTCGGCG